ATGACCTTATGGTGAATTGAAGTTTGACATGCTGTTGTAATTATAACAATATTTTATATAACAAGTGAATACATGGGTTCTTCATGACCTTATGATGTATTATACAATGACATGCTGTTGTAATTATAAATGTATTTTATATAACAAGTGAATACACATAGTCTTATTGCCTTATTGTGTATTGTACTTTGGCATGCTGTTCTAATTATAACAGTATTTTATATAACAAGTGAAAACACGGGGTCTTCATGACCTTTTGATGTATTGTACAATGACATGCTGTTGTAATTATAACAATATTTTATATAAAAAGTGAATACATGGGGTATTTATGACCTTATGATGTATTATACAATGACATGCTGTTGTAATTATAAATGTATTTTATATAACAAGTGAATACACGGAGTCTTATTGTCTTATTGTGTATTGTACTTTGGCATGCTGTTCTAATTATAACAGTATTTTATATAACAAGTGAAATCACGGGGTCTTCATGACCTTTTGATGTATTGTACAATGACATGCTGTTGTAATTATAACACTTTTTTATATAACAAGTGAATACACGCGGTCTTTATGACATTATGATGTGTTGAAGTTTGGCATGCTGTTGTAATTATAACTGTATTTTATATAACAAGTTAACTTGTTATATAAAATAATGTTGTATTACAACAGCGTGTCATTTTGTAATACATCATAAGGTCATAAAGACCCCGTGTATTCACTTGTTATATAAAATACAGTTAAAATTACTACAGCATATCATTGTACAATACATCATAAGGTTATAAAGACCCCGTGCATTCTACTTTTATAATTACAACAGCATGTCATTGTACAATACATCATAAGGTCATAAAGACCCCGTGTATAAGGTCACAAAGACCCCGTGTATTCACTTATTATAGAAAAACAGTTACAATTACAACAGCATGTCATTGTACAATACATCATCTATACTTGGTTCAAAGCGTAGGTTGTACATCCGGCGGAAGATAGGTGAAAGATACTATCTCAATGCATAGCACTTACCATGAAGCATGGGGGAAGTAGTTAAAATTACTACAGCATGCCAAACTTCAGTACATCATAAGGTCATAAGGACCCCGTGTATTCACTTGTTATATAAAATACAGTTATAATTACAAAAGCATGCCAAACTTCAATTCATCGTAAGGTCATAAAGACTCCGTGTATTCACTTGTTAAATAAAATACAGTTATAATTACAACAGCATGCCAAACTTCAATTCATCATAAGGTCATAAAGACTGCGTGTATTCACTTGTTATATAAAATACAGTTATAATTACAACAGCATGTCATTGAACAATACACAATAAGGTTATAAAGACTCACTTGTTATATAAAATTTGGAAAAGGGTGTTATAGACGGATGAGTCCAAGTTTGCCCTTGAAATGCTCCCCAAACACTATCACGTACATCCAAGATCGTAAGACCAAGACTGGTAAATTTGAAAATAGGAAAAAAAAGAGGCAAAACACCTAAACTCAATGATACTGATGTTAAGTATCTTCGTTTATGCAGCCTTCGGGACAGAAGGAAGACTGCCACTGATCTCAAGCATGAGATAAACAACCATGTACCAAATGACAGAAAAGTGTCTAAAATATCAAGAAGACTCAACGCGAATGGAGTATTTGGTCGTGTAGTAGTTAAAAAATCCTTCACTTCGATCTCCAAATATTTTCAAGAGACTGAAACTTCTTAAAACGTACAAAAACTGGACTGTTGATGACATGTATTTGGGGTTCTGCTTGAATGAACATAATGATCAAATTTAGGGTCTGAAATAACTGTCATGGTATCCCATGCAGTGTCTTAACTATATAGCAAGGAGCTAGCATATGGTACAGACATATGCTAGAAGAAATCATTTTAACAGCACTCCACAAATAAACCTTGATACAGCCGGTGTTTAACACAGGTATACTAAGTTTTGTTGTCATGCCACGGTCCAAAAAGCGTAGAGAATTGTCAGCAGAGCAGAGATTTCGCATAAAAGTTTTACGTGATGCTGGTTGGACCTCCGACAAATTGATACACCCTTGGTACAAGTATATGAAAATTCTAAAGAATGATAAGTTTTCTCATACAGTTGCCAACAGGGATCAGTGAAACTTTAACATAGTGTTGAGATTTAAATTCTGTAACGATATTGAAGAATAAATCCCATAAAATGGAAAGAATGACAAAATATCCTCTTGTTCTAACTCTTTTGAACAGTGTTGTATTTCCACGTTTTACGTGTTAAAAGCATTTTAAGTTTTATAATTATCCAATATTTAAAATCAAAAAGCCTATTTTAATTTCTTTTCCTATTTCCTCAACATGTTTAACATATTCAGAAAGATACGAGGAGAATGCCACTCTAGTTCTTTATAGTATTTTATTATACCTTTGAAATACTCTATGGCTTATTTCGATTTTGTTCTATGTCGTGTAAATTTATGCTGAACTTAAGGGTAAATACCAGTTTATATAAAAACAAAAATATTTCTTGGTATGTCCTGTTGGACTGATCATATGGAATGAATAGGCCTGGTCTAGTGGTTAGCGCGTTAGACGGTGAATTCGTGGGTCCATGGATTTCATCCCATTCTCCTAAAACCACACTCCTCACTCTGAGGTTATGGGTGCGTTATAAGAGTGATGTGAAGCCCCACTAATTGAGTAGAATAGTTAAATAGTTGGCAACTGGTGTTATAGAGTAGCGCCTTACCTCTTTTCAAACTTAGGGAAAGTTAGCACCGATAGCCCTTATGGAGTTTAGTGCAAAATTCCGAAACAAACAAATCAAAAATACATCGTTGAAAAAAAATCACTAGATAAATAACGCATAGGATCCAATAAAAATCCTAAATTATTTCTAATGTTAATACTGGAATTTATTGACGTAGAGGTTTATCACACGTCTCCAGATTGTAATAATTTGTATTATCAGAGTTTTACTGGAACTCAAGGATATAAAGATTGGAATTATGAAACTTTATAACAACTACTGATGAACAAGTACTTGTAGAATGTAAGATTCATATATAACATTATTCCTCTCACGAGACCCTTCTTACTTAAAGAACAAACTTACCCATCAGCATCAGGTTGAAGGTTATTAGGGTTCATAAAAAATGTATGTAAGTTATTCATTAGAACTGGAGTGGAGGCCATCCCTGAAGACACTATCCCTGCCGCGAGACCTTTATTGTTGGGGAACCACTGTAATCGACAAACGTTTGATTATTAGTACTTAAGCTTTCTTTTACCAAAACTATTTAAGCTCTACCGGGAAATCCCTTTAGAATCAATTGAAAGTCTTTTTTTTCTTTTTTTTTTGGTATAGAAATGTTTTTAGATATTCCATAATGTTTCCTTGTGTCATTGTCACTCCCATCATAAAACCATAAAGATAACACTATTTTATGAAGAAGCTCAAGCAACACTTGTTATCAAATTAAATAATATTTATTAGATGAAAACATTTAACCGTTTTTAACTACATAATTATTTATCTTCTGTATTTCCCTTAGAGTTACTTCCTACTTCGTTTTTACCAAAACTGTGCAATATTTTGCTTTCTTGCAAATCTTTTATATTTTATTTCTTCCTCCTTCTACATAATGGAGAAAGTTATATTAAGACAATCTAAGAGCCTCACCAAGTCGTTACAGTCCATGTCACCACGTCCGATCATACGGTCTCTGATAATAGTGCAGTGTACGTTTCAAAGCATACTATTCCTACCTGCATACTTTCCATCATCTATCTAGTGTACAAGAACAACGGTTTCTTAGGACCAGTTTCAACAATCTGACTGGCGAACTGATAGCTATACCTTTCATGTTACAACTACTTGAGGTGAACGACGGTTGAACTGATATGCCTCGGAAGCCCATCGCAAATGAAGATGGATTGTGAAATGTACTGTTGCCTGGTACACGTGGATGGATTTGGGCACTGTCCTTTGTGTCGTGAATTCGTACCAGTTACAGGGCATCACGATTTGTTTTAATTAGCTGCAGTACAATTGTAACAGGTCTCTTTCTCGATTGCTTTAGTACCGCAAGTTGGTCCCTATTCATTGTATGGATAAAGTCCCGATCTGGGGACAGCTTTATTTGTAAAAATATTTTGAGTTGAAAAGGGCTGTTACGTTCCCTTTCTAAAAGCGATCCATTTTCAGTGGCATCGTATGTAATGCCAAAAATGTCAAATGTAGTTCTTATACATTCCGCTCCACCACAACTTTATATCAGCTGTAGTTGTCAAGTGATTTGATGATTTGTACATTGAAACCCTATTTTGAGAATATATATACAGAACTTAACACACTACAAAGAACACACACCAGCAATATCTGTTTTCAAATTAGAAATGTACCATTTTAAACAACATTATGCTGTGAAATACGTTTCTAGTTACTAGGCCTTTACATCTCGCCACTCTCCAAAAGGAAACAATGGTTCCTTCATAGCATAAAACCATCCCTTTGATTTCAAAATTTCAACACCCACAAATTTCTAGAAACGAATAACACACCGAGAAACATTGAATTATTTTTCAAAGTAATTTTTCAGTACAAAACCCTAGAAAACAGATTTAAGTTTTTAAAGTACTTAAAAAGTTGTTGTTTTTTTCAGTTTTAGGGAATCTGTAACTAAATTAAAAATAGAACCCAGTGTTGTAACAATAAAATAAGGCCAACTATCATATATAGTTTACAGATTTCAAAGTACAAAAACATTTAAAAGAATCAAAGGAGATTGAAAATAATATAACCCATACATTCAACCACAAAGGTCTAATATTTTTGTAACTATCTGTTTGTTTGATATACGTACAAAATATGCACATTTTGAAATATCTGTGTATGAAAACGTTATTTGATTTACATAATCAGAGGATACCACATATAAAAAGTGCAGTTCAAAACATGTCTTTGAAATTCTAAAGACTGAAACACTGTCTGTGAAGTTAAAATAATTTGAAAAAGTAAAAAATGAGATAATGCAGGATCGCAATTCAAGATCTTATTGGGCTGAAATCACCTAAAATATTCAACTGTTGTGCACCAATTAATTCTTCGATCAATAGCTTCAGTTGTCAATCCACGTATTAATGTTATTGATATTGATGTTTGAAGAGCCCGTTCACTTCAGAAAGTTTCTAAATTTAGAAAATCGTTATGTCTCTTGTCATCTACACTTCAAAAAGTAATTTGGCAATACATAAGGAGTTTTTGAACACAGTATCTGGTGATTAATTGGTCGTACAAATATAGACTATGTGAACTAATTAATTTTTTGAATCAAAATAATAACTGGTTGTGAGAGAAAAAACAAAAAACGTTTGTATTTAAACAAGACTGTATTTGTATTTAATGAAAATGTACTAAGGCTTTCTGTCGCAATCCCAGATTTTATATTAATGAACAGAGGGATAGCAGCACTTTACCATCCACGCAGAGGGATTGACTCTCACTATCTTAATATAACCATAGCTTAAAATGCTTCAACTACTTTGTGGAATTGCACGGATTCGAAGCTGACTCCAAAACCCAAAACTTCACTACTGGTCCAGCCAGTGATACAAAGAAAACAGAGAAAAACAAACTCCAAATTCAGCTGACAACTACAGCCGGTAACCACCAGGAAACCTGCCATCTTTTCTCAGTTCAAGGTAACCTCTAAGAGTTTCTAAAAGTTTTCCATATTTGGGCATCAAATACTTAATTTTCACCAATAACTTTATACTTGATTTTTGTATTATTAGAGCGAATAAAAAGGGTTAAAGTTGGCTGATATTTTTTATTGAAATCGAGGGTGGTTGGAGGTACCAGATCTCTATTTCTATGCCCTTTTTTAGCCCACAATCGGCTATAGACGGTAACTAGTAGTGGGATCTGAAACTTTGTGGGTGCTAACAGCCGATCATAACCCCTTGTTGAATCTGTAGTTCGTTTTCTAGTTTTGTTTCGATTATGTCCGATAGAAGGAATATCACTGTTACGCCTCCGTTTTTAGTTAATTTTCCGTATAATTTCTTTCCGATGAAACATTAGCAACACAAGTCCTTTCTTAAATAAAACTGGTTTATTCTTTCTAAATACAACTTTGCAATACCCTTAATTTCCACGGTCACGCTATAACAAACGCTATAATTAACAACGAACATCTCACGTGCTCAACAATACGTCTCTCTCTGTCCGCAGTTTAATTACCCATTGTTGCCGTCAGTTCTTGGTTACTAGGGTCACGTGAACTCCGCTGTCGTAACATCACCAATGCTTTTGGTTGCAATTGATCGAATAAATTTTCAGTTTAATATGATACCAT